TGCTCCACCACCCTCTGGGGGAAGGTCCTGTCACTGTAACCAGAGAGCAGAGATCAGCAACAGCCCCTCCACTGACACTTGTGAGGAAGATGTAGATTGTTTCCTCAGGAAATTGTAGAGTCAATGAAATGCAGCCTTCCAATCCCCCAAAATTCTTGGTCCACCATTCATGCATGTACCCTTTAGGAGAGCTTAGGATCCTCCTGCAGCCCCAGGATGGTTGGAGCCAGGGCAGCAGCATTGCTGTGCACCCCACCCTGGGCACTGTGGCTGTGGTTGCCCCTCGTTCCCCCCCAGGTGCTCAAACTTTCCTCCAGCTCCCCTCACTACATGTGTCACAGGAATCCTTCCCATCTCACTGTTAAGGCTCTTAGTTAACAACGTGTTTAAGAGGTTTTGGTGCCTCTTAATAATGCACTTAGAAATATCTTTTATGTTAAGAGGTGAACTTAATGAAGTACTTTGCCAAGGGAGGAGCATGGAAACGTCAGCTGGATTGTACCTGTTTGTGCTGTATTGCTGAGGGCACAGTGTCAAGCCCAAGCCTTGTGAAGCCAGAGGCAACCTGCAAGATTTCAGCAGAGAAGCTGGATGGGGTCCAGAGCCACCAGTCTGAGCCCAGAGCCCTTCACTGTCTCCCTGCAAATCCCACTTGGCTCTGCATGTGGTCAGGAGAGGGGTGGGCTGAGGCTGTGTGAATTGAGGCTGTGTGAACTGTTTGGTGGACCATAAATGGCATTGTTTCATCCATGAACAGCACAAGGCAGCCTGTGCCCCATGTCCTCTGATGGCCAGCCTGGGCAGAGGCTGGTGGATTTCTGATGAAATAGTTTAAAAAGAGTATTTGAAGGAAGGGGACAGTGAAGTCAGCTGACAAAAAGGAATATTGTTCCCAGACATTTTCCATTAAGGATAATGGAATGGGGAACTACCACAAGTTGTGAGGCACCCAGTTCAGAGTAAACCCAGACCTTCTTCACAGGGCAGAGAGGAGGACCCCAGCATGGGTTCCACATGGGTATCAGCTAAAGAGGTGGCAGTCTGGACACCTCTGACCAGCTCAGACCAAGGGATGTGGTCTCAGGAGCTGAGAAAGGCTTTATTTTCAGAGGAACAGGCTCACAGAGGGTTCTCTTTGGGGATAAGATGAATCCCTGGTTCTTTCCTGGCACCATCTCATCAGAGCTGTGCTATCCCCAAGCACCAGAAAGATGCATTCAGCTCCTGCTGCTTGTTTGACTGTACTAAAACATCCTGCACCTCTCACTGCTCCCACCATCCATCCACAATAATCCAGCAATTGCCAAGCAAAGGAAATAACCAACTCTGGAGCAGCTGTGTCTCAGATGGCAAAAGCTGGTGAGAGGCTCTTCTAGCTTTTCTGGATGACTTTTGTACCTGTATTTCTTTCACTCCTTTGCTAAGTACCAGTTCCTGACCCAGAACCTGGCCTTTGGGGCCCAGGCCACCCTGCAGCCCCCACACCAATACAAACAAGCCCTGCAAGGAGGAGAACCTGGCAAGAAGACTGGGAAATATTGTCACTTCAGCTGAGGTCACTCTGCACCCCATCTTCTACCCAAGAGACCTCAAATGAAGGCACTGGAAAATAACACTGGAACAAATTCAGATGTTACTCTCCAGCCTGTCATTACCCTGAGTCAGATGGAGACAAGTGAAGAGCCTCTACCCAGGCTAGATTGTAATTGGAGTGATGGAAAAGACCATTAGGTCATCTGGGCCATCTATCCCCGCCAACACACGCCTGTTCTCTGCTTCATGTTATCTAGTGCTGAGCTTGGAGTGAGTCAAGTGATGCAGCTTCCAGTTTCCCATGGGAGACTTCTCCTAATAAAACTAATAGCTGAGATGGAAACATTTCATGATATCCTGCCTAAATAGGCTGTTGCTCACATTCATCCCATTACTCTTGCTGATCATCCCTCTGGAAGCACATCCCTCCTTGGTGTTCATGCCCATCACCCTCCTGCTGACAGTTACAGTCAGATTTTCCATGGGTTGCCATCTAGACAAGCTTCATTTTACTGTTTGGTGGTAATGACTCCAGACTCAAGGCTGCAAATAACTTTCTTTGTCCTTGGAGCCTTTGGACCCCTCCTAAGAAACTAGATTCCCCAGATATTCTGCAAAGGGAAATATTCTGAAGAGTTTTTTGTAGCAAATTAAGGCTTAGAGAGATGGACCATTGAGTCAAGTTTCTCATGACAATTCTTCGTCTTTTGTTCTGATCTAGTTTTCCTTCTTTAAAACTTATTCTTTGATTTCTCCAGGGATCTTCATTTTGTTTCCACACTTAATTAGAGCTTGAAGCCCCAACAAGGCACATGTTGCCACTTGGAGGAATGCTCCAGGTGCCAGGTGACTTAAAGGTATTCAGTTTGTAAAGAGACTCTGTCATTTTCTTGCAAGGTAGAAGACAGAAAAAAGGGAAATAGGTAAGTCTATAGGTTGATGCATTTAGGAGCAAGAGATGTAGCCATGAAACTTTCTAAAGGTTTCAGTGCACACAGCCCGGGTCCTTCCCTTCCCCGTGAATAAGAGGCTTATAAAAATAAGTGGGTTTCAGGGTTGTGTAAGCCCCATGGTAGAGCAGTTCTCCAACATTAGATGCTTCAAGAGTGGGGAATCCCCTTGGTCCCTGGCAACCTCAGTGTGGTATGTGCTCCTTGCCCACCTGGTGCTGCTCAGTCCTTGCAGGTGAGCGGAAAACCCTCTGTTCCTTGTGGCTTCCTCCAAGGACACAACTGGAAGCATCCTGGCTGCAGTGAAGAGTATGGAGAGGAAGGGCCAGCATGAGTCAGAGACACACACAGGGTGTGTCATATAACAGGATTTTCCTCAGAATTTGACCTGGTTTTCAAAATACTTCTTACCATTAGCTTCTGACAAAAAACCTTGCCATGCAAAATCCTGCCATGCCGCATCAATGCCACCAGCCTGAAAGGCCACTGTCCCTGAGGGGAGCAGTGTCTTGCAGGGAGCAGAATGAGCTACAATCCAAGATGAAGCCTCTGTGTAGGACACATAAACAGAGCTGTGCCTGCAACAGGAAATTAATTTAAATTTAGAAGAAATAATTTTTTCCCTTGGTTGAATGAGATGGGAGATCCTCCTCCTGTTCTTCATTAAGCAACAAAGGGTGAAACCAACAGCAAATTGTGTGCAAACCACCCAACTGCGGCCCTGAACTCCTGAAACATCTTTATTCACTTAATCTGGGATTCAGGAAATTCTCATCCAAGCCAGTTTTATTGGGTGGTTTGCATTGAGCTCTCAGCCTCCCAATCAGTAACAGATGAACAATTTTGCATAACATTTTTCTCCTGGATTTTTGGCTCTGCTCCTCCTTTCTAGCTGCTGAGCTGATGAAGCAGGCTTGTTGTTCACCCTTTCGGAGACATCAGTCTTGTTCTGGTTCTGGGAATGGACACAGGCTGCCCTGGGTCCTGATCAATGCCAAGTCCTACCTTTCTGGATTCACCTCCATTGGTGGCTCATCTCTCCATCTCCTCTGTCCCCATCTCCTTCCTAATTCCTTCTTCCTACTGCTTGCAGGGCTGGCATCAGGTACTGAGCCCTTAAAAAACAGCCCAAACCAGGTCCCAGCTGCTGAAGAGCAGCAGTAGATGCTGATAAACTGCAGAAGCCTGATGTATGGGCATCTGCTGAAAGGACACAACAGGCACAGCTCCAGCTGTGGCTGGAGCTGCATGAACAGGAGGGTTGCTCTGGAGGATGATCTGCCCCTCAGCCCTTCTCCAGGCTGGTGACTGCTCAGCTTGTTTTCATTGTTCTCTTCTGGGCAGAGATGTTGTGACTGGGAGCAGAGCACAGATGGGGTTCTCTGCCACTGGGATGTCTCCAGCACTAGTGTCTGTGTTGGTCCATTACCCCATGCTTGTGAGGGTCATCTTGGCTGTGGAACATGCTGTGCCTGCAGACCTGCTGTGCAGTGTGAGAACACATATGCCAGAAGTGGTGGGGATGAGTCGGTGTATGCACCCACACTCATCCCTGTGGCCAAGGTGGTGCCAGTCCACAGGGCTCCGCTGCCCCACTGGGAATGCGCAGTATTTGGACCACTGAGAGAAAGGAAAAGGGTGAAACCCTGGAAAAAAGGGGCCTGGAGAAATCCCAGCTCTTTGGCAAGGGACTGTTTTATGTGTGTACTCCATGGCCATGCACGTGTGTTACTTGTCAGCATCTCTCTGCCTCCACCCCTGTGCCTTGGCTGCCCAGAGCTGCCAGGACTCAGCTGGCAGCCACTCAGGAAATGAAATAGGTGCTATGTCCCTGCCTTGTGCCCCCTCATGGGTGGGCTCCCTCACCTGTCCATCATACCCCTCACCCTTGCAGACCCTCTGGCAGCTGATTTCACAGGAGGATGTTGCTGCCTTGATGTTTCAGCACTGCCAGTTCCCAGAATAACTGGGTCCCAGAGCTGGGGAAAAACACTTTGCTCAGCTGATGTGTTTGCTCAGACGCTTGAGCACAGGCTTTTAATATTATAATGCCTCTGAGATCTGGGACTTAGAGGGGGATTTGCTGCCATGTGCCTGACAAAGAGGAGTGACCTCAGCGACACCAGAGAGCAGAGAGTATATAAAACCTTTCTGGGCTCTGTGTAGGAGTGCCTCTTTGGCTGCTCTCAGCTCCATCTGCTCTCTCCACACATGGATGTCCCTGACAGTCCCTCTTGGGTGGAGGGAAGACCGGGCAGGAGATGAGTGCTCACACAAATGGGCTTCACATTATTTGCAGAGCTCCCAGTTTAATGCCCTGAATTTTAACACAAGAGTGATTCCCCTCATTCCAGCAGGTCTGCACCTTCTCTTTTCCATCCTTTTTCCCCTCCATCCTCCAACCTATCTGCATGAACTGCTTTCCCCATGCACTGGCTCTCCAAGGGTGAAGGTGCTCCCTTCCCCCTCTCTCCTCTTGCCCACAGGGACCTGATTCTGACTCTGTTTTTTACCCAGGTCTCTCCTAAGTGGTTGGGTGATCACCACTGTTGCAAAGCTGGAACTGCATCAAATCAACATGTCAAAGATCATATTAGACATTCCTTCACTCACCCTATGAAATATTGGCCATTTTCTGACACATGGAGAAAAGTAAGTTGCAAACCCAATGGGAAAGGCAGGAAAAACAGTCATTAATAACTGTACTTAATTACAAACTAATTTCTTGAAAAATGTGTTTGAAAGCAGCTGGCAACAAGTTGAACTGTGTGGAAAGTTTGAAGAACACCAGACCAGACATTAATAAGTCAACAGCCTCCAGAAAAGGTCAAGCTCTGGAAATATTTAAAGGCCCCTTAATAAAATGAATTTTAGTTCCAATGCTGAATTAAAACTTCATTGCAAATCCCCAGAAAATAGAGCTCACTCCCCCCAGACATGCTGCACATGTTTGAGGGAGACTTGCTTTCTAAAAAGCCACAAGCTCCCTATGAGGCTCCCCCAAACATCTCTTCTAGTGACCTCCTTCTGGCTGGAAATGCCACACCAGCATTTTCTATCAAGGGCTATTGTTAGACCAGCCTGTCAAAACTATCAACAGGTGTCTGTAGTGCAGCATAACCTCTCTAGAAGCCTGGTGCCATTGGTGAAATCTCATCTGAAAACTACCCTTGGACATGGAGAGGGATGATCTCTTGGGAAGACCTGAAGAGATGCTGTGACCATACACAGTGTTAACAGTTATAGTTTTGGAAGGGACTACACATTTCTTGCTTCCAGCAGCCCAACAACATCACTGTTACACTGTTCCTGTTGGTTTAACTGAACTCTGAAACACAAGAATATGGACAGGTAGGGCTCATGGTGTGAGTCCCTGCGGTTCTGGTAGGAGCAAGGATCTTTCCCTTTGCCACACCAGGAATCATGTCCTAGGGGTTGGAAGCTCTTCACCAAACAAAAAAATCTCAAGGAGAAAAAGAAAGAAAAATATCTGTCTGTAAAGGGTGACACTCACCCAAGAGGCATTGAACAAAGCCAATTCTAGCAGACGCATTCTATGCTCCTGTGTTTGCAATATTTCATTGTTCCTTGGTTGTTTGTACTCCAACCCTTGTCCTTATTCTGGCCTTCTTCAAGAGCACCCCTCAGCAGGTACTCTGCAGGAGAACCTGTGTGAGAGCACTGGAAATGTCTTGACACTTATAATCAGAGGGGCACATATACCAGTCACCTTCCTTGTGGAAAGACACATACCACCGATTCATCACAGCCACTATCACCTCCCATATAAAGATACCCCTGCTTATCTTGTGTGGCATTGCCCCAAAAGCATGGATCCAGGTGGGCATGCGAAGAGCATTCCTGGTCCTGAGGTGTGGGAGCCACATGCTGAGCCTTCACACAAAGTACCCACTGCTTACCCATCCTGTTTGCTACTCCTCTCTGCTGCAGTCTGCTTAATGACAGGAATCTCCCCAGGAAGTGGGGCTGGGACAAGCCAGGAGCTCACTGGTGGATAGTTTTTGGCAGCACAGAATATCTCTGAACATACGTCATGCATATTTGACTGAGTGTAAGCTGGTACCTCTGAGCTCTCCCACTTCTGCTGGCTCATCTGCCCACCTAGTTCTGGGGCAATTGCAAAATCCAGACCCTCCCATGCTCCTCAGCCACTTCCAGAGCAGCTGGCAGGAAACAGGAGCTTCCAGGTCTGCAGGGGGTTGTGAATAGCTTGGTTTCAGAAATAGCAAAGTGTTTGGACTGCAGGTATTCCAAAACAAAACATCTCAGTAGCTTTTCTTATTTGAAAGGTTTCATGACATTTGTGTCCAAATCAGACAAAGGAATTTTCCTATGATTTCAAACTTTTCAGGGGAGGCACTTCTACCATGTGATGGCAAAATATTGCCAGTGCCAACAATCACAGAATCAGAGAATGGTTTTGTTGGAAGGCACTTTAAAACCTCATATCATTCCATCCCCTTGCCATGGGCAAGGACACCTTCCACTAGACTTGAATGCTCCAAGCCCTCTGCACTTCCTAGAACACTTCCAGGAATGGGAAATCCACAACCTCTCTTTTCAAGGTGTTGGCAAGGCTTTGGAGCCACAGGAACCACATGTCTGACCACCAAAACATTGCTCTGTTCTTCTTTTCTCCTCCTGGCACATCTTCTGCAGGAGAGGAATACAGGTGCAGTATCATATTCCATCACTTAACAGAGAGGTAGGAAACAGCAAAACAAAATTCCCGAGCCTTTCACACAAGTGGCAGTGTTTTTCAATAGAAATTGTGAGTTACCCTTTTCTAATCCTGGCCTTGGACTGGTTTGCTGGAGCTGGAAGAATTGTTTCTGTCCTCCACTTGCTATTCAAAGGTGCTTGATCCATCTTTGAAGTATCTGCAGAAAGTTACTGGAGAGGCCAAGCTCCAAATCCAGACCTGAAGGTTGCATGGAGCGAACAGAGAGGATGGGTTTGTCTGGAGTTCATTTCAGAAGTTTCCTTTCCTTCTGCCCCACATCATCTCAGCCCTCCTCTTTTATCCAGGAGATGGCACAGCAGCTGGGGAGACACCAGGACCAGCTAGGTGGTCTACATGCTTGGAAATCTTGCTTTCAGATCAACTATCCCCTTATGCCAGACAGAGTTTGATCGGCTCATTGATCAATTTTGGGGGACACATTACAAGAAAAGAGGGAGAAAGAGAGAGAAGCCAAGGAAAAGAGATGCTGGAACTACACAGGAGAAATTCTGGTAGTGAGAATGGGCTCAAGTCTCTGGGGATCCAAGGCAACAAAGTAGTGACACATTTTGTCTTTTTTGGGGTAATTTTTTGGTTCAGACAGAAATGGCACACTGGCATCTGGCCATCTTCAAACAAGCCCTAAGATCCAAGGGGCTTCACCAAAGCAGAGCACAGCACACCCATGGGGAAATCCTGTGTCTGATGACACAAGTGAAGGTGACTTCAGAAGAAACATGAAGTGTCTTTACAGGAATTGCTGTAGACTCACATCCTTGGCCTCCATCATGTTTACAGCTGAGGTACAGATCTCATCTCACATTCACCTGGAGAAGAGCTGTACTGCTCCGTGCCATGACTAGAGGCTATATTGACATAAATGCCTGCATTCCTCCAGCCAGAGGAGTCCTTCCTTGGTACAACCTTGTTGTATCTTCATAGAAGATTATGGCATTGGAGCTCATTGGAGCAGAAGCAGGGGAGAAGAGGAGGGTGGAGGTGAGGGAATGGCGGGGGGGGAGAGGACAGGACAGGACAGGACCCTGTTAGCTGTTGTTATGTCAGGAACAATACTGCGCACAAACTGTTGCCTCTGGTCCTGCCTGAATGGCTGCACAATACACCACAAAAGCCATCAAGGATGTCCACCCTGCAGGGATATGCTGCTTTTCAGGTGCTCCAGGGCTCCAGGGAAAGTGTTGCTGCTTTAACAGCCCACATCAGAGGCTTAATTCCCCTTAATGTTTTCCACCTGGAGAGACTAGGAGACAGCAGAGACCACAAGGTCTTGGGAAATCACCTCTTTGTCTTCCTCTAGCCTCAGTAGTGGATAGAGGCAGGAATGGGAATGCATGGGCTCACGGACAGAGGGCTAAGACATCCTGCTGCAACATCGCCAGCTATTTTTGTGAGTCTGTCCCTGACCCACAAGGCAAGCACTGGTAGCCAGTGTTCTGCTGCCAGGCACTGTGTTTATGAATCAACTGTTCAGTATTTTATGACTTGGGCTGAGCTGATCAGTCCCCTGCAGCTGGACTGCCTGGCTGGGGTGAGTCACCTCCCTGCCCATGGGTCCTGCTGGTTGCAGGGTGACAAATGGCAAATGGCCATGAGGTAACAGCTCTTGAGGGCTTTTCATGCAAAGCCAGCTTTCTCAAGCCTTACTCCAGAGTCCAAAACTCAGAACTAATGGGAAATGCTGCAGGCAGCCTGCAAAGAGCTCTGCAGTACCACAAACAGCCCAGGCTGCAGAAAGACATCACCGACACCAGCTGATATCAGGCAAAAAACCTCCTGGACCTCGCCTTCAGCAGTGGAAAGTGAATCCGCTTTCTGGGAAAGGAGATGATCTCTGGGCTCTGTCAGGGAGCCTGCCCTTGACATCTTGGTATCAGCTGGCACAGACCCAGCTCAGTCCTGTGGGCTGCCACCCAGAAAAGCCAGTGTGCCATGTCCCCGCCTCCTCTGCCCAAGGCCAGTACAGAGCATCCATGGGGCTGCCAAATGTCTCCTTCACCTTGACCCTGAATCCCTGCTCCCCACTGGGCAGTGAATGCTCTCAGCTGTCAGTGTAGCAGAACCGGGTGAGCAGTAAGTCAAGGGCTTGGAAGTTTTTCCTGTGTGCAATGATTCATGGCTCATGTTTGTCAGTAGATGGGACTGTTTGGAGAAGATCCAAGTCATCATGAAACATTTACAAATCCCAGACGTTTTGTGGATTTCACCACAAATTATCTTCTGTCCAACACAGCCAACCCACACGTTCATCGACATTTCTGAGCTGCAGTTTATTAATCCTCTGTTTCCAGCAATGGTGTGAAGATAGCAATGGCCAGCAAGACTGGAGTTGTCCAGCCACTGGAGTTGCGCCAGCTGGACAGGAGAAGGGTAGTGGTTGAAAGCCCAATGACCCCTCTGTTCTCCATGACTCCTCCACCTCACCTTGCTCAGCAGTCAAAGGAATATGGATCAAGAATTCCCTGGAGGAGAAGGAAGAAAAGACTCTTTCTAAGAGGGCAAAGACCATGCCAGCTCCTTTAAAAGACCTATCTGAGAGTATCTATGGAGAAGTGTAGTAGAAACATAAAGTCAAAATGAGGGGTCACACCCTAGGAAAAAGTGTCAAAATAGGGTAGAAGAGTATCAGGCATTGATGGCACCAAGGCCATTTAGATTGCAGCACACCTGTACATAGTTTTTCAGGACCCACATACTGGGAAAATAAACAGCAGCCCAAAATAACAGCATAAAATTAAGGACAGACTATGCCCAGGGAAAAGGAGTCTAAAGGAGTGTTTAAAAAAATGAGGTAAAAGTGATGTCCATGGGACCCACATGAAAACACAGTTCAGCTCCTAAATGTATGCAAAGCCAGTGCGTGGGCAATAGCTGAGAGCCCAGGAGATGTGAGGACTCACCCGCTGGCATCCCTTCTCCTCTCTTGTTTGAATGCTGGACATTTGTCCAGGTGGGTGTGAGACACTGAGTGTCTGAAAACAGCTTTGTTTGAAATAAAATAACCTTTTCCTTCACCTTTCCTTCTCACAGATGTGGTAAAATATGTGAGAATATGGGAAAACACGTGAGGAGATC